AGCTTGGGAGATGAGCAACACAACTTTGGGAGTGAGGTGGGAGGTTCATGGACATGCTTTGGTTTTTTTCTTGCATTTGATGCTCAAGAGAAGCAGGAAAGAGGTCAAATTAAACTCACTATACCATAGTATTTCTTCGTAGAGTTCTAAGGAGTAGGATAAGATGTTTAAGCATGCTGACAAGAATACTTGCCTTGTGTGGGTTAATTACCATGTTTTGTGATACTTTGCTATATTCTACCTCGTAGGTATAAATATTCTAGCGACTTGTGAAAATTTTCAGTTCTCTAATATCTAACGAGAGTTTTATGTTTTCTGAGCAAGACCTTCCTTTTTAGACTGGTTGGAAAGTTTCTGCGCCAAATACGCTGGTTTTAGTTGTGTTGTGTGTTCTCCCTCATCGATTAAAAAGTGGCACATCCTTTTTATGTAATCTTTCTTTTAAAGAATGCAGGTTTTGCTCATTCTTTTTTTTTTTAAGGAGGCAAGGCAGGAGAACAATAATACCTAATATATGTGCTTTTTTGAGATTAAAGGCGGGGAGCTGAGCTACCTAATTGGTAATGCCACATAAGCTTCTTGAAGGGGAAATGGAATCGCGAATGTACTTCAACAAAAATTAGCGGCTTTTTGCAGGAGTCTGACATAGTCAGGTCAGAAATACATAATAAAAAAGGCAGATGTTTGAGTGTTCAGAAAACTTGGATTGTTCTCTTCCCTACTGCTGCATTGGTGTGTTCTTGGTGAAGTCAGACGGGGCAGCTATAAAATGTGGAAAAGTAATTAAAATATAGGCATCTTCAGAAATCTCACTGAGTCTCTTTTTCATGTTGTCGTGACAAATGTTGTCATTTATATTGTTTTCATTATGCAGAAGGAAGGTATAGTGACATGTTTTGCAGTAAATAGTGTATTGGAAAATACACTGTAAGAAAAGAATTTCTGGGAAAAGAACATACCAGGTCCCTTGACTTTCCTGTTTCTAACCTATTATTTAATACTTAAGGGCACACAGTTGTCAATTTAAAAAAAAAAATTTTGTGCAGAAAATTTCCCTCCACACTCTTTACTATATGCACAAGCAGTAACTTGTGTGTGGCAGGGATTTCTACATCCTTCATCTGTCTAATTTATTTTCTATGTGCATTTTTTTCTGGTTTTGGGGGATGTTAAATAACAAATCAAGATTTCTATCAAAAATAAATAAATCAAATATTGCGTGTTTTCTGTGCCAATTTTTCAGTGTATTTCTTTTGCTGTTCCTGCTTATTTTTCCGTAAACTTATGAACCAGTAAGATAATTGACTGAAAAAATAGTCTGTGGCTTGCGCAAGATCATATTAATACTGTCTGGAATAATGTGAGTGTAGTTGTTGGGAGGAAGATGCTTTTCACAAAATAATAATTTTGAACTGCAGTATGTTCTAATCTTCATAAAGTGTCATGACACATTGAACACTTCTCGATCCAATAGATGCTAGAGGAACCAATAGATGCTAACAGGTTATTACTGCTTTTTTAGGTTTTTCAGGTTTCCCAGCTTTCTTGTTTTTCTTTCCTCCTCTCCTCTGTTTTCCAGACAAGTTGTTGCTCATGTGCAACAATGTTCATATTTCCCTGTCTCTATTGCAAAGAAATCCTTGATGTGCATTTGCGTTTTCCCCCTTTTTTTCCCCCCCTACAGAGCTGCATCAGTTTATAGTTGATCACAGAATGACTATACTCCCAAATAACAAGCCCTAACTACGTGAAAGAAGCTTGTTATCGGCCCCTACATGCAGGAATCTTGCATTTCATGTGATTTTATTTCATGTGGCTTCTAGTATGCCATTTTTCAAGACCGGTCATTTGTGTGTGTGGTACTCTGTTCCCCTTTTGTTACAGTGCTTTCCACTTCTGTCTCATCTAAATCTACTTATTCTTTTCTGGTGGCATTGTTAAAAAAAAAAAGTTTGATATAATTTTTGGAGGAACTAGTAGTTCTTTTCTAGTCCAATTGTTCCATGTTTGCAACATCATACTGTATTCTTGTGAAAAGTTTCTTTCTCATTTTAAGATTACCTCCTTATCACATTTATTTAACCTCACATGATTTACTGAGTCTGGATTGCATCTTGTTTGAGTTCCTTTTTTCAAAGAAATGACTGATTCATTTTTTAGGTATTGGATTAGTCCAGCATGTCCTAAATCTGCTAACATGTACTGCATTTTTATCCTTTTTCCTTTTTAATACAATTGAATTCAGACCACTGAGCCTGGTAATTTTTTTTTTCTTCTTTAAGTGTTAACTACTGTATTTTTTTTTTCCTCTGTAATCATATGATAGCACATTTAATTTGATTTTATTAAAATGCTCATTGCAATTTTTGGGGACAGCTCTAATGTTTTGGTGTAGACATTTTTTCAGTTCCCCAGCTTCAATGTATTAGCCCCCTCAAGTTATACTTTTACCTTGGAAGGTGTTAATACATTTGCATTCCCACTAACTAGCCTGTCTTTATTCCTGTATCTAGTGGCATTATTTGTATTGGAAACCAAGGCACATTTTATCGTCACCAGTACCTCCACAAAATGGTATCACTACTTCTGGGTTTTTTTTAATTATTATTATTTATAAATCATAGTGGTTTCACTACTCTCTTGGAGTGTAGG